AGTTAATTCTCAGATAAGATCTGAAAAATAAGGCTCCTACCTTAAAATCAACACTTATATTAGGGTTCTATGAAAATTGAAGTTTATTCTAGTAACGGCATGATCTCTTTACGTTATAAGACATTTGTGTCATTCTGTAGAAACAGCAAGGCCATTCCTCATCCCACCATATCCTGAAAATAAAATTCTAATTTTGTAGATTTATACGCTGATTTTCGCTTTTCAAAGTTTTAGTTTTTTTTTTTTTTTTTTAAAGTAGGCCTAATTATTAAATATTTCATATTAAACTTTGGGTAGTGCGATGATTTTGTTAAATACACTAAATATCAAATTCAAAATTGTATTAATAACAATAAACGGTTTTTTTTCATTAAAATTTAGTTTTATAAACAAATTTTTATGAAAAACAAAATTATTCACATAGTAGAACACCAGAAGATCCTTTTTAACTGGTTTCAGACAAATTTATTTAGATTTATTCTTGTGTTTAGATCGATAATAATGTGAAATATGTAAATAAAAATTTTTTTAAATACACGGTAGAATATCTGTTTTTATTTATATATTTTTATGGCTTTCGGAAACAGAAGCTCTACAGAATCTTTGTGACTAGTCTAGATCATAAGTTATTTCTTTCATTCCCCCGTCTGTTACATTTAACTTTACTTATTCAATGATTCTCCCAAATGATTTGAAGAGCTCACCATTAACTTCTGAAATCTACTGTCTCTCTTTATAAGAATAAATAAGGCGCGTTATTCCAAATTGCGTCTTATCCATTTTCGCTTAATTTTCATTATTCAATAAAAATCTTTTAAAGCTTAACATTTGGTAATGCGAACATTGATTTATAGGCAACATGCAGAATGGACGTAATATGAACTATTATTCAAAGAAGTTATAATTTCAACGAAGAATTAGGAAGGTGTGAAGTTTATAAGAATGAATAAGACGAGTTTTGGAATAACTGAAGTGTGGATAAGATACAGTTGGAATGACATTCGGTTTTTTACATTAAATTTTTTTATATAAGTTTGTTTTTTTCAACGATAGAAGTGTTTTATTATAGTAACTCTTTAGTAATCGGATAGCACAAATGATACAAAAATTTTTAAAAGTGGATAAGACGTTGTTTGAAATGATGCGCCTCATATACTAGTAACGAATATTACGTACAGGTAACGAATATTAAATTTAGGGCCGTCCAGAGCTTGTGCCTCTCTTCTCTCTTAACAGGCTACTTTAGCCTTTTATAATAAATGAAATACGTAGAATGTTTTTGTTTTCTATTAATCAAAAGTAGCATTAATTTTTTGCTGTTGTAAAAGTAATATTGATTTTATAGGAGGGATAGGAATCAGTATGGGCACCTAAATTTTCTCTGGACCCAGAAAAATTTCCAGCACTCCCCTACTCGACGATCCTAATTAAATCACTTGCTTTTATCATTTTAAATATGCTTTACAGATTTATTTCAGTTTTTGTTAGAGTTTTTCTTTCTTGATATGTAATGATATTGGGCATTATATAAAAACAATTTTGAACATTCGATAGTAGAAGAATAATCTGTTTTTCGAGTATTCTATTTTATATAAAAGAAATAAATAATAATTTCACTTATTATAGTGATTAATTTTGATAACTGAGCATTCAAGAGTTTTTTATGTAAAAATTTATAAGAAATTGTAATTAAACAGGCAAAAATCGAACACAAAACATATAATGTTTCATAAAAAAAAACTATGTTTGAATGAAGCGAATGTTAATCAATGTTATGAAACTATGAAATTTTTCAATGAAATAGTATGTAGGCTACTGTAAATTATTTAAAATTTAAATGTTGTTTCCATTTGTTTTGTATGGAAAATTTGGGAAAACGATAATTTATATTCAGTAAAACGTCATGGAAATGATGATCCGTAATAAGTTAAATTCTTACATTTCTGAAATATAAAGTTTATAAAATTTCTGAAAGTCATTATTTTTAAAAACAGATGGTGGAGTGGATAGACACTTAAATTAACACTGGTAGTCAGTTGATCATAGGTTCGCACCTGGAGAACGGAAACGTGGAGTTTTCTTCGCGTTAGTAGCACTTTAATAGAGTCCAGTTTCCCATAAAAGACATCCCGGGAGGCATTCCGCCTTGGTCTATGTGTCACATTGCCGTATACGAATAAAATCAAAAAGCCGAATAATGCAGTGAGAGTTTACTCAGTCACCTCGTCACATAACATGTATTGTTATGTGACGAGGTGACTGAGTAAATACAGTTGATTTGAAAACACTGTTCAAATTGTTGTGTTGCATCAATGTAGTTCTCATCATATTCTAACAAATCGGTATCGTTCTTGGAAATACGGTTGAATATATTTTTGTTTTTTACAAAAACAAAAATACATCGATTTGGATACTTGTTTGAGGAAATGGATGTTACTCAACTGTTGAATGAACTTGATGAAGAAAACGAGATTTTGCTTGTGACGACTGCAACATAAAAGAGATTGGTTCCATTCAATATATCTTGGTAAATGAATATTTGGTGAATTTTATCATCTTATGCCTGAACTACTGACATTGAAGAGCAAGAGCGATGCATAAATAGCTTCTGACGGCTGACGAAAATTAAACGGTGTGATCAGTGTTTTAACACATATAACCTGTGGCTGATGCCCTTTGTCGTCAGCATACATCAGCACAGTGTGAATTCGATAAAGATGACGAGTCGGTTTTTTTCTGTAACACGTCCTAACACGAAATAATGCGTTTTAACATAAAACGTCAGCGTAATCTGAATGCGGCCTAAGCAATGAGTGATGACTTATCTCATCACTTGATCATCGAGCTTAGCATATCACGGAGGTAATGAGCTCAATGAACAGTTTTCCTAAACGAACTCAGCGATGTGATCATTACATCTTAACCAATTAGCTATCGACGAGTTGCTATGAATAATTAGGAAAACTCTCAGTGACGCAAACCGACATGTGACTTGAAAATGTTTTATGAAATTACTTGGCTAATGTTTAAAAGTATTTTATTTGATTTTCGTTTTCCGCGTATTTGATTATACAGTAATAAATTTACAATGATTAGAGATACTAATATAGTATTTGTACTGTATAATATTGATAGCGAGCTTTTTATCAATAAATTTTTGTAAAAGATAAGTAAATCCTGAGATATTAAGAAGATTAGTAAATTCTGTTCTCAAAAACAGAATAGACATTCCGACATATTTGATGACATTAGGGTATTAATGACGTGTAATCCAAAAATGGTGGAACGCAAAGTCGATATTCTGTGATTTTTCTAATCGTCTTTTAGCGAAACACGTCTGAAGATTTTTTTTCAGAAAAGGAGCTGAGACTAGACTCGAGAATTTTAAAAAAAGACTTTGAGACTTGTAATTTATGACTTGAAAAACAAGTCTTCAATTCTCGTTTACAGTTTCCCAGTGCCGGCCCGAGGCAAGTTTTAGAATGGAGCGAGATCCTATTATGGCGCCCCCTTGGTTGTCCCTAATTTATACCCTTTGATTTTCTTTACCACTGAGGCGTCCCCTAGGACTTAGCGCCTGGAGCGGCTGCTCTGTTCGCCCTATGGTAGGGCCGGCTCTGCAGTTTCCTTACAATAATTTATTGTTGCTGTAAAACAAATTAGACTACAACTAATTAAATTAAATACAAAATGCCAATGTTATGTGTGTAGTTTGGACCGTTTCCAGGGGCGGATCCAGAAATTTCATTTAGAGGGTGCGCTTTATATCCATATCGATATCCTTTGTACTGTAGTTTTATACTGTACTTTGTATTATGTACTTTGGACTACATTGTACTTTGTACTATGGAAAAATCTTTTCTACTTTATAGTTTTAGGACTTTAGGAAGTGAATACGCTCCCTCCGCACCCCCTGGATCCTCCCCTGGTTTTGAATAATTTTGGCTCTGATACAAGTATAAGAACGGCGCCAATGCAGTCCACTTATATTTCTATAAACGTTATGACGCCTTTTTTAGTATCACTCCCAATTTTGCATGTGAGGGAGTGACTCTTCTCATCTATTAGCACGGACCTGTATATAGTAGTGGGTTGATATCAGTTATTAAGATAAAAGTTACACGACAAATAAAAGGCAATTTGGATAATTAAACATTTTGCATTTTAGTAAAACTTCAGCATAATTAATTGCATTGTAAGGAATACACAAGAAACTTTTATAAGAATAGTTAATTAATGAGTATAGAAACTAGTTAATTCTTAAGCATATCACATATTAAAAGTTAAAAGTGAGATATCACCATGTATGTATGCAAGCAAGAAACGCGCTTATGTATCTGAATGACATGTTACAGATGCAAATTAGAATATCTTCGCAATTTATTTGGCGATCGCGAATCTGCCTTTTTTTCTGAATATGAAAAAACATTACCGAGCGAACAGAACTCCCAAGCATAATACAATTAAGACGGACACAACTGGTTTTCATGCCAATAATGTCCGTCTTAACTGTGTTCAGTGCAGTAACTAGGGCGGTGCCAGCGGTGCCCAGGCACATGGCGCAGAAATGACCTGGACCAAGTTTTGGGGCGTAGTTACAGAAGCTCGCACCGGCCGCATAAAAGGCTAGTTACGGTGTTGACTGTGTTATGTTTGGAAATTGTGGAATATTTAAATAGCATGTACTGTAGAACCACAGCAGAAAAATAACCAAAATTGAACAAGATAAACAACGTTTCTAAAATCTCGTTTTCGAAAAAATATTGGAATATTTTCTTTCTATAGTCTGATATCGATTCGATGAAGCCAGCGAAGACTTCTTGAAAATCATTTTCTCTACAACAATACAGTAACATTTTCCTCGTCCGTTATCAAAATAATTAAAAATTATTTACTCGAATTTCATATATTTAAATAATATACTAAAGACGAATTTTATTTTTATACTTTGCAATTTCCATAATAATTTTTTTAATCTCCCTAATCGATACGAATAGTAATTCATCGGTTTCGAGATTTATTTCACGAAGTAAACACTCGTTTGACAAAGATGCATGAGAAAAAGTTTAAAATCATAACCGTCACGTAAAATGATTTTAGTTAAATTTAATATATTTCGTTCGAATTCATTGAGCTAAAAGTTCCTAATATGTTATAATTAACTGGAGGTAGTAAAGATGGCTACCGATTGTTGTTCGGAGCCTGCAAAAGCCAAAGATTTCCCAACATTAGTTATTGACAAGGGAAAAAGTAGCGAAGGATCCGAAGATGAACAGCAGCATCCTCATTCGTGTCCCGATACATCTCTGTCAACGCCTGCCATACCTTTTAGTAATTCGACAGTAGAATTTCTTAATCCTTCGTCTGAGGGCTTTTTATCAACCTCCAGGAGTGATCAGGGACAGAGGAAAGTTAGTCCGGATGTGGAGGATCCGAAAGTGTCCAAATTTGATAATAAATTTACTCCTAGACGAGTACCGAGAACTAATGGCAAAGGTTTGTGAGAATGTTTATGAAAGATGTGTTTAAATAATTTTATAAAAGAAGACGATACCTATGCAGTGACCGGCTGGCAGTGTTATATTGTTTCTGCTATGAAAAGGATATAAAATAGCAGAGAATTTTCGAAGTTATAATGAAACTATCAGTTGATTTAGGCGATGTGAATGCATATGTTGTTAACATTGCTTAGGTATCGTGAGAATAAATTGCCGGAAAATGTCGGTTATTAATTTTATGAACAAACGGTGCTACACAAAACCGATACGTTATAATCGTAAAGCTGACTGCTGACGTATGCTGGCTTGTATAACGACATGTATAGCCCGATGCATATGGCAGTGGCTGGCTTTGATTCTTTATTATGGCTTTATTATCAACAGTGGCATGCTGTCTGTGGAAGCGCCGCTTTCCTTCTATTTTCTAAAATATAAATACGTATTGTGCAATTATTTTCATATTTTAATGTATCTTGAATTAATTAAAATTAATATTTTTTTATAACAGCATTAGCGAGGCCAAAGTTTTCATTTCTGAAACATGAACATCAAACGTTGAGCACTGCTATCTTGTAAATGGCGCTTGACATTCACGTTTTAGAGATGAAAACGTCGGCCGCACCCTCGCTATTATGTATCTTATTACAAATTTCTATACTACAGTGAAAAACAATGAAAAGATCGCTATTGTGTATTTGAATATAAATTCATATATTCATATTCTGAATGGAAATGCTGTATTGTCAAATACAGGATAGCTTCCAAGGTGAAAATATCTGAATCTGTGTAAAGCAGTCAGATTATATGCAATCACATATGCGCTTACAGAGCATCAACCTCACGTTGTTTAGCTGATGGATGCTACACACCAAAATATCGTATAACGCTTCCAATGATTCTATCCAGGGCTGGCACAGCTTCCCTATCATCAAATGTCACCACATGCCACTCATTATTAATTTTGTGTTTTGATCGGAGAATCAATCGTTGTTTGTAACTTCATTTTTGTCTCATTGAGAGTTTACATTGGCAAAATTGCTTAGATGCAAATGACTATTAAATTGCAAAGCCATTTGCTGATGCCGTCTCAAAGAAATATACAGTATAATAACAATAATAATAGAGGAGGAGGGGCTGCCTGCTTTTGCAAACTTAGCCCACTAGGAAGAGAAGAGTGGAGAAAAGGTTGAAGGAGGGGTTCTGAAGGGAGAAGTATAAAGGAAAAGGGGGAAAAAGTAAGGGTGAAAAAAGTTCATAGGACCTCAGAGTGCTGAAATTGGAAATTATTAATAACCAAAATTACAAAAGTTGACAAGATCATTATACAATATTAACAATTACAAGAAATGGTCCGGTTACAGTAAAATGCAAAACCCATAAGGGTAGGTAGAAAATAACCTTGAACACTGCAATGTTACAATAATATTAAGAACTGGTTACAATTTTAATATGCAGAGAATGTAAATATCAGCTTACTATGATATAATAGTACTGATTACATGGTACATGAGGACTCAATACATATTAATGGAAATACCTTTTTTTTTTTTTTTTTAATCTAGAATCTAAAACTAAACTATGTACAGAGGAATTCTACACGGCTGATCAAACAATTGCTGATAACATCACTTTTCTGTTGTTTTACTGTCTTCCTCGGAAAAATGATGTTATCCGAGGAAGAAAGAAATATATGAAGATACAAATAATGCATATGCTCTTTTGATAGATTTCAAAATATATAACAATATTGAAATTAATTTCAGCAAAGAATAGATGGAGCATGATATACTTTTTCAATTTGATGACATATTATTTATAGTATGATAGACTAATATATAGAAAAATATATATGTTGTTATCAAATTCTTCAGATTTCTTTATGAAAATAAATGATATTATTATGTGTATAGTTAATGTATTGTATTTAAATTTTTTTTAATGCAGAGATAAAATTATTATAAATGAAGAAACTGAACTGTCTTCATTATAATGCATATGGAAATTTATAAATTTAAACATTTAAATTATTCTTGTTTCTAAATTTGAATTTTGTTACATATTTTTTTTATTATTCAATTGTTTTTGCTGTTTTCTTCAAANATTTATGGCAGCAAGTCAAAGGGTTCCTACATTTAGAAGTATGTAGACATTCTTTTTGCATTTACACTTTATAGCTGGACATTTCAAAGTCTAAGAACCATTCTAATTTTATTATTAATATTTGTAAGACTTTATTTTGCAAGTTGTTTAATTTTAAGTCTATTAAAAATAATTTCACTTTAATACAATCTTGATGTACTTATTAAAGTCAGGATAACTACATGAAAATCCAAGAGAATTATGATATTTTATAGGATATAAGATGCAACTTTTGTCCAAAAAAAGACTTAAAAATTGATTCTCTGTAGGCTAATGAATTTCCCAGATATCTTCAGTAGGCTATAGGTAACTGCTGTCTAACCTAACTCTTGAATAAAAATATTATTGTTTAATTAAACATATTATTATTTTTTCTATAGCTAAGCAACTTTTGCAAGTATTTCGTGTAGAACATTTTAATGTAAATGACTTTTAAACTGCTCTTTTTCTTTGGAAAATAAAAGTGTGCATTTAATTTTACTTTCTTTTTAAACCAGAATACAGCAAAAAAATTGGTACCATTTGCCAAAGTCATGGCTTAAATATATTAAATACTTCTGTCTTAAATATTGTGTGCTGAAGTGGAGGTATATGCCATTAAATACAGTAAATAAATTCTTTAATGTTTAAAAGATACAGATCTTTACATTATTATAGATTGTATTTTACTAATGTTTTAGCCATTTCTAATTAAGATACTCTGTTTAAATTTATCAGGATCTCTATTGTCATCTGTTATAATAAAATATTATTAATAAATTAATGCAATCTTCTGTTGATCCCTCAACATTTATTTTTACAAAATATGCCTAGATAAATTGAAAAGCTAAGCTCAATAGTGGTCTAACCCTCTTCTATGTTAAATTTGAATTAACAGTGCCATACTTTCATGTATTAAATATACTGTCTCTAAATACATTAAAGATTACTAGAGTTCAGATTAAGTATTGATGGAAACAAAAGAAGTATAACAGCAAAATATGGAAAACTAACATACATCACCTTTACAATACAATATCTCAACTTTAAAAAAAAAAAACCAGTGTTAGACCAGTGGTTTGCTTAGCCTTTCAATTATCCTTTTAATATTGATAAGCAGGAAGTACATAACATCTTTATAAAAGATTATATCTTTCACTGTTATACATAATGTTAAGTTAAAGTTAATTTATTTAGGTAGTTAAAAAAAGCTTTGTGAAAGCTAGTTTTGTATTTGATATATGTCATTTTTAACAAACCAGAAACCTCTTAGAGCTATTAATTTTTTATAAGCTAATTCTTTATTTACTTGTATTTATAGTTTTTTATTTTGAATAATTTTCAAAAGTATTCCAGTTTTTAATAGAGTCTTTACTGGTTAATATTTTTCAAAGTATTTGAATGCATAACAGTTAAAATCTGTTGGAAATGAATAAACTACATATTACATTAACAGTATTTCATTTAAATTTAAGCAAAGAATTGACAATCAAGAATTTACAACAAGAATTCTAATGAAAAGATATAATAAAAGTAAATGACTGTAATGTGCAATTAAAAACATTTTTTGTAGTTTTTGTTGAAGAAACTAACAAATGCTTTAGTTTATTTATTGAAATTATTTTCAAGTTGAATTTAATGAAAAAAATTTAAATAAATTATCTCATAATCATTTTTGGGTATAACATTATTTTTAATAAAATGTAGAATATTCCATTCAAAATATAGTCTGTAGTCTGAAGAAAATTTCAATATATTGATTTCTGAATCTTTGGCTGTAGTAAATAGTAATTGCAAAGTGTCATACATCAAAAAATATCTTGTTTAAATTATTTAGAAGACATTAACTCTATTGAAAAGATATAATAAAGAAATTATGTAAATTTATAATGTATTAATTATTATGGTAAATTTATCTTTTAGAATCAGAATTTCATTAATTTGATTAATTTTTGTGATGTAGAATTCTTTATAGTGTAGTTATTTTAAATATTTCAGTCTCATAAATTTTATAGTTTTCCATTAATCATATCAAACTTATTTTTTCAACCAGGATATTCTTAAGGATACTATGATGATCTCTTTCATTTAAAGATTCTGATAAAGAATATAAAAAACATATTAAGAAATTTTCAAAGTTAGGAAGTTATAGAAATAGTAAAATAAAAATTACATTCACAGAAGAAACTATAAAAGTTAAAGATATACTGCAAAACTGGATGAAATACATTAAAAGCACTAACACCTATAATCCACTTAAAATGAACCAATTTATTATAAGAACAAATGTTTTCAACTGTCTTCAACAGCCATTTTTAGGTTATGGAATATTACATAGAACAAAATTTAAACAAACTAGAACTTGTTAATGAGTTCTGTTTTATAAAAGCTGACCTGAAGACGGCTGTTAAAGATAGTTGAAAATGTTTCTTCTAATAAATTGGTTCATTTTAACTGGATTACAGGTGTTAGTTGGTACTTTTAAATATAGAAGTTATATTGTATTGCCATGTATCATCTCTCTACAGTTTAAAAGAGTTTTGATCTATCCATATAATATAATTAAAAATAATTTGCATTCACAACTTAATTTTAATGTTTATTTTATTCAATCTATATTATGATAACATTTACAATGTATTATAATTTGAATTTAATATAATGTTTATGTTGAATCTTTTCTTTAAGGAAGTTTATTATGATTAATTAAGGGGTAAAAACTAAGCAAAGTTTTGAAAGTATCTAAATTTTTTTATTTTTATTATTATTAGATCTTCCATAGCACTAGAATACTGAAACAGGACATTAACTGACGTATATAGACATCAATCACATTTAATGTGAACATATCTTCTTGTATTTAATACATTTAATTCAGTATGATCTTTATATTTTCTAATGTTTCTTTGATAAATATTGCATATTATATCATAAAATATTAGCTTTTATAATTAATTAAATAAATTAAATTTTAAAAATGTATAAATATTTTTAAAATCTGAATTTATATTCAATAAAATTCACTAATAAAATATGTTTTAGTAAATGTTATGTGTGAATTAAAGATTTATATTTTCTTGTAACTTTACAAAGTTATTTTAATTATATATGTTTTAAAGTTTATTGATAGAAGAAGAATATTTACAAAAGTGTTTGAAATAGATTCATGATTTAAATTAAATTATATAAACTAAAATAAATTAGATAGATTGAAGGCTTAACATCAAAATTTACTTTATTCTTGAAAAGTTAAATGTATAAAGATAAAAAAAACTTTTAAAAGAAAAATATATATTTTGTTATAAAGTTTATATTCATAATAAATTAATTTATTCATAAATTATTTAATACTATATAAATATTTTAAACTAAATTATACTTGAAATAGTATTAATAGTATTAAAACATGAATTTTTAAGGAGTCAAATATATAGCTTATTTGAAATAACGTATGCACCAACTAACTAGTTATCCTGACTTTAAAGGTATTTTTCAATATTGATTGAAGGGCATTAAAGCAGAAAGTGACTATATTAAATTTTAATAGATTTTCCTGTTTTTTAATTTTCATTATGCACTTATTTGATTTTTTTCATTTATTTAATTTTTTCATCTGAATAGTTTTGAACTTTTTATTGTAATATAATTAAATAATTTTCATGATTAATGATATGATTTCATTTTAAGCAAAATTTGCTTAAAATGAATGAAATGAATGAAAAAATATATATATTTCATATGATTTATTATTTTAAATTTTATTAATATATTGTTAATATATAAAAAAAAAATTTAATTGTAAATATAATCCTGTCTTGTTACCTAATAATATGTTGTTTCATATGGACTATATAATATATAATATTGTGTATTATATACTGTATAATATGAAAAATATTTTAAAGTTTTATATTTTTAACTAAAACAAGATAGTCTGTCTATCAGATAATAAGATAGGATTTATCAATAATACAATAAATAAGTTTAATAATATAAATTTCTATGAAGTATTTAATATTAATGTCTTGAGATTTGAATGATTTGAAAGCTTGTAGATATTTATGCATGATATCCTAGATTTATTTGTCTCAGTTTTTTTAACTATCATTTCCAATATAAAATATTCTCACTTATATTGTGATAACTTATTTTGAATTTATAAATTTGAGAGTATGAATTTTATGCTTGTAGTAAATTCATTTTGCATGATAAGCATATTCCTCGCATGATGGTTTATTTTTTATTTTTTAATTACTATTAATAAAGGTTTTATTGAAAAGTTCAAGAAGCTTGTAAAAACAGTTTAATGTAATATCTGTTGCAGTTGAGTGTTTGCACATGTATTAAGCATGATTATTATTTTTTATTTGCATGATTTTATGTTTCCTTGTTTGAGCCACTTGTCATGCTTGTAACTTGTCACCCTTTTTGCATGTTCTGTTTTTCCTTTCCCTTTAATAGGTGCCAGTAAAATAAAGACCATTGTGCCTAGTGACAGTCCATGTCAACAACATTCCTTTCTCACAGACATTACGGATGTACGACAAATGGAACAGGGACTCCTGCAACTACTGGATGATTTTCACTCTGGAAAACTCCAAGCATTTGGTATATGTAAATTGCATGAGTTTTTATCTTTCTTAATTCCTCATTTTTAAATATATATTTACAATAATTTGTTTTAAATATTCAGGTAAAGACTGTACTTTTGAGAAGATGGAGAATGTTAGGGAACAACAAGAACGATTGGCAAGACTTCATTTTGATTTAAATGCTCAGCAAGAAATTTATGGGTAAAAATTATTTTTGGATTCATATTATTCAGCAAAAATTTTGTGTCATTTAAATTAAGTAAATGTAAAACAGCTCAAAATTTTTTAAAATTCAAAATACATTGTTAATGTCTATTTGAATGATTTTAAATGTAAATGAAATTCCAATGTTACAAAAAATTAATTACAATTTTGCAGAAAATAATTTTATTATTTTTAAGTATATGTAATTAAATTTTATCAATAAATATGAATAATGTTATATTTTTCATTAACTTTATATATGTAAACTATAATTATAAGATATGCTGTTAGAAATGGATATAAATTTTAAAGTGGTCTGAATAATTCAATGAATATTATATGTAATTCAAGTTATTTTTTAGGCCTCAATCAGATGAAGGAAGAAGAATGGCAAAAGAAAATTTATCAAAATTAATTGAGAATGTAAGTTCAAAGGATATATATTTTTTTATGTTTATTCTAAGAAACTTAAAAATATTTTTAAAAATTTTTTAGTTGCAGCAACTAAGCATGTCAATGTATCCTTTTTAATTTTTTGACTTTTTGAAAATATCTTTTGGTCTTTTGGTGGTATTAATAGAGTTGAATTAAGTTAAAACACACAAAAATTAAAATTATATTTCAGTATTTTCTTATTTGTTCTATGTCTGATAATGATGAATTTGTATTTTCATTGAAAGTATTTCAAATGTATTAATATCAAAAAGAATTATACTTTCTGAAACTTAATTGTAATGTTTGGTATACTTTCCATATTCTAAGTATTTAGTATTTATTGTTTATTGAACCATCAATAAGAAATTATTCTATATTGTTCAAAATTTGACAATTCAATTTTCACTAAAGTAATCAGTGCATTTGGAACAAATTGTTTATTTTAAACTAATAAATCTACATTTGCTAGTAATTTGGGTTGTCATTAAAACTTGAAAACAAGTTTAGCAACACTTTCAACAGCATTGCTTAGCAGCACTATTTGCAGCAACTTTCTAAGTGATGCTATAAAGAGCATTGCTAAACTTGTTTTCTTGAAGTGCTGCATGCAACAATCTTCACAATGGTTTTGCTGGTTTGAGGTTAAATGTGCATTGCTTGCTTCAGTTACTTTTCTTGCTGCTACAAAGATGGCTGCATCCATCCATGGTGAAAAAGTTAAATTTTTATGTGATATGATAATAGAGAAATAAGATTTTAATTTTAATCATGAATCAATATTCTGTTTGTACTAAGTTTTTTTTTAAAATAAGCATTGTCAAATCTGATTTTATTTTACTAAAACTTATATATTTAAATGTTTTATTATATACTTTATGTTGCAGGAAAAAGTTGCATACATTTAAAATTTAAATCTCTAATTTTACCTCCCAAACAAGGTATTGCATTGCAAAACTGAATTACTTTTAAAATTAAAAAAATAGAAGAAACTATAAATGTCTTCATTACATCTTTTCATTCACCTCAGGAACAAAACTGTTTTTTGCCTGATGAAGTCAACCTTTTATTAGATGCTATTCATTCACCATAATACGCAGAAAACATTCCAGGGTTCCAGGAGGACACAATGTTTCATCACTCTGAAATGTTTTTTGCATATTACAGTGGATGTGTAGTCTCAAAGTTCAATTTCACCAGAAAAAAACAGTTTTGTTCCAGAGGTGTTTGAAAGGATGTAATGAAGATGTTTATAGTTTCTTCTATTTTTTTAGATATTAGTGTTGTTCTGGCCAATGTGCTAATTAATACTTTTAAAATGTTTCAAATTAAATAATTTGCAAAACATTCCATCTGCACAGAGATCTGCCATTTTTGAACTATAGCCCAGCTTTGTGTACATTGTTAAAAGATCTTCAGTAGTGATTGCAACACTTTTGCAGTGAATGCAGCAGTGCAGCAGTACTGAATTTAACAATAAGCTGATTGTATACTCTGTGTAGTGTATTTGTTAGTTTGTTAATCTTTATAAGCTAAGGTAAAAAATAAATTTAAAATAAAATGAAAAATCCTTTTAATTGATGTTTTTATTTATGGCAGCAAGTCAAAGGGTTCCTACATTTAGAAGTATGTAGACATTCTTTTTGCATTTACACTTTATAGCTGGACATTTCAAAGTCTAAGAACCTTTGAAAAAGTCTTGTTTGGTACTGCAAAATTGGGAGATGCAATTATCTTTAAAGTTTTGTTTGAGAGAATTTCACATTCAGCAATCAATTTTTTTGGGGCAAGCCAAAAATTGAGATCTTGTGATAAGTTGTTGCAAAACACCATCTTGTTCTAATCAGTAAAAATTGTCTTCAGCTTTGAGAACTGTACTAAAGCAGATTGAACATCTCTTTCATGATTATCTTCAGGAACAGGGATTTTCTACATGTGAAATATGGTGATCAGAACTCTTCATTCTTTTGGCTTGATTTCTAAGAGATGAGAATGCTTCTCCCCCTTAGCTGTTTAATTTCTTGATTCATCCAAATTGGTTGTCATAAAATCTTGATTTGAGCTCATCCAAATACCTGAAATAGCTGTTCTTTGAACAAAATCATCATTTCTGAATTTGTGAAAATTTCCTGTTGCATTTTCTAGATCTTTGTCAAGCTGTATAAGCTTTAGGGTTCTTCAACATGTAGAATGTTGGAAGAATCTAATCCAAAGGTGATTATCCAAACAAGGCTTCATAGAGAGTCCATTCAATACCACTGTGGAACAACCTATTCTTTAAGAACTGAATGAACTTTAAATCTTGGCATCAGTATGAGGTTTGTCTGCATTCAAGTAGTGAGCATGTTTTGTACCTGGTTTCTTTTCCAATACTTCGTTGGCTCTGAATATGATTAGACTTGACATGAATTGTTTTAAAATTAAGCCAGAAATTTTTTAAACTATCCATAATTTTGTTAATGAATTCTTTAACATTGCCAGACTGTAGTACTGATGGTGTGCCTTAAGGAGTGAAAATCTAAATGATCTTCATCTGCTGTCTTTAATTTAAGCAGTATTATGAATTTGGTCAAGTGGTCTTGATGATATAGTGTAAATCTAGTAATCATCTGGCTGTGACTGGAAGTCAATTAAGTCTATTTGACATCTAGAATTGAGTTCTTTAAACAATATTGGCTTGACAACTATATTCTTCCTTTTACTTTTCTACTTCTGCTGGCAGATTAAGGAAGATTTGGACATCTCTATAAGTTGCATTTTGATACCTATTTCACAAGTGTTTCATCATTTGGCCTCACCCCCATGGCCAGTTGTTGTGTAGGCATCATTTAAGACATCAAAAAGTTTCTTATCATAATAAAATATTTAATAGTACTGGATTCTTTAATAGAAATTAACTTGTTGGCTCAATTCACCTCTGAGTTTATCTGAAAACAGAATAAAGTAAATCATTTTTAAAACAAATCATAAGAGCAGTCTTTTGAGATATTTATGAATATGAGTAGCTCAAATGATTAAAGTCCATAGTATTTTAAATCACACATTTAAAGAATTAAAAACATCACTCAAATGCAATAAGCCTCAATAAACTGCAGCTGTGCATCAGTGTTTCTAGATGTTTACAGCTTTTGTAACTGAATATTTCCTAAAAATAGTCAAAAGTAGTCAGCTCCATTGGTAGAGTTGAAAGGACAAAAATTCTTTATATAACTCAAAAGTAGCAAATGCACCAAATGCATTTTTCTAGACTCATAAAAGGTGCAAACTTGTCACACAAGGATAATCATATTCTAGAACACTCTAATGACAAACAGAAGTACCCTTTTACTAGTAAATGTAAACAGATAAAACTGTAGTACAGATTCATTGATTACTTTACTGAAGGTGTACATTCACTAGTAATAGTGTATGTTCACTGACTATCCACTTTCATTGTAACAATATATATCATATATTACTTGACTTTTAGATCAACTAAAATAGATTCTTATATATAATGCTGAGAAAGTATTTTAAATAGTTTCTTGAAAATTTTATAGGATGAATTTAAATCTGCAGATAATGTAAACAATTAAAGAAATTTATTTTAAAAAATAATAGATGTACAAAAATCAGTCATATGCAATTAAATGAATGATTCAAAATGATGTTGCTTGGCTGTCTCTAAGTTACTAGTGTTTTATGGTGTACTATTTTGCAAGTGTTTTATCATTCAGTCTTGTTTCCATGGCCAGTTGTAGTAGGGGTGTCATTTAAGACATCAAAGAGTTTTTCATCATAATGAAATATTTAATAGTATTAGATTTTTCTGTTTGCTCTTTTTATTTATATAAATATATACACTGTATGTTGTCCTATAAATAGGATAATAATCAACTTTATTATGATTGTTTCTATAATAAGTTGTGTGTCAACAAACACATCCTTCTGATTTCAAACCAGCTTTCAGTCTGAAAGATTTAACTTTCTATGTTGGAAACTTCTTTCTTCTTTAATTCAGCTAAAAAAGGTATAACATAAACAGTTCTCCCAATTCTAAAAGAAGAAAGTGTAATTGCAATGAACCCCAATTGAGAGTGGAGGTAATGGATGGCCGCCGTCGGTTGGATGAAACCTGGCTGTATTTTTCCATCCATTTCGATCTCCACAAAGACTGTCTTTATCAGAAGGCAGTAAGCATGAATTAGTTAAGTCCATGACCACGTTTTAAACTAAAACAATATTTATTCACAACAATCTTACAAGTACACTTGAGAGAGAGCTACACATGCTCATGGCAGTGATCACCCGACAAGAAGAAGCAACAATACCCAGAATCCCCTGCAGGAAAAACTCTCCTCCCCGTTTTTCAGTCAGGGATTCTCAGGGAACTCCTAGAGGAGTGGCGCCATCTCACGAGTCCGTGATGGTCACCGCAAGAGAGTCTATTCTCAATCTAGAAAGTTTAATCTTTCAGACTGGAAGTTGGTTCAAAATCAGAAGGATATGTTTGATGAAGCAGCAAAGTTTCACACCAAGAAACACTGGAATATAATAAGTTATGGATTTTGACAATTATTTTTTGAATGTGAATTTTTCAATTTGTTAAATAGCATTGTAAATTTTAAATAGTAAATTTCATCTTGCATAAAACTCTACAAGAACAAATCAAGACAGTTAGATGTGAGTATTACAAAGAACCTTCTTTGTGTAATCTAACTGTTTCTTTATAAATATTTTTGCTTCTTACAGATATAGGAAATCCTTGTTAATTCTAACTAAAATCCCATTAGTTTGTAACTGTACTTTTGTCCCAGCTGGGGATATAGAGATTTACATGTTAAGGAATGCAGTCAGTTCAAAATATGGCTACTTCATGGCTGAGGTTTGGGATTGCAAGATTGGGCTATGAGCAGAACCAGTTCTGACAGGTGTGCAATGTGTGTGTGCATGCAGGTGGCCAAATTCCTAGGGCAGCTGATAATGCACTTTGAAAAGTAAAATTCAAATATAATTTAATATTATTTTAATATAGTGGTTGTCGATGAAATAGATTGATGTTTGCATGACAAATGATGATATAACTGTGCAGTTTATGGATATAAATATGCCAAAGCATACATGCTAAGTGTTTTGCTTCAGAAAATTTAAAAGTGCAAGCAGCAGGTAATGGGGAATTCATCAGTTGAAACACAGAAAAATTCAGTAGTGGGAATTTCATAACCACTATGATTGTTTCTTGTTTTAAATCACGTAAAAAGTATAAAATTTAGAATGTGTAAATTTCAAAGCTTTGTCTTATTATGTTAATATCTTATGATTAAGATTACACTTACATAACACATTGTGAATGGTTGCATTAAATACATAGATACAAGGTTTTATGTTTATGCTTAATTTTCATTGTAAATGGGTATTTATTCCCATATTATTAATATTAAAGCGATACTTACACCATTGTTTTAATTGTTAACAGAACCAAAAGGAAATTTAAATAAAGAAAGAGATATGCATGGATGTTATCAATTTAAAGATACTGTTCATATATTGTATTTATATACTGAATAAGAAAAATTTCTTTAAATTAGTTTCATTTTAATTTGCAAATTCTATTTTATGGCAGTGCTAAAATATAACTTTGAAGAAAGACACTTGTTCAACTGTCCAACCATTACTGTAATGCCAGGGCTACATAGCCTAGAGAGCTTCTAGGCTATGTAACCTAACCCTATGAAGTCATAACCAACTAAAGACAACTGTTATTTGTTGGGTAACTTAATTTGAATAAAAATAAAATAAATATTTATCAAATATTTTTTGGAATTTTTTTATTACTGCTAACTATATAAAACTATCATGAAACATAATCAGTAGGCTGTCATGGATTGGGTTAAGTTATGAATTTATTTGTGATCATCATTGATAGGTGTGACCAAATATCTATAGCAAACAGTCCAAAACCAGCCCTGCATGCAAGTAGCAGATTGAAGATATTTATAGGGTTTCAGGCTATTACATTTGGGCAACTTACTACTTTTTGATCACTTTAAAAATAATTTGGGCTTCATTTTGAGGAATTCTGCTTTATTTTTTTATAAAATCTATCTAACAACCTGTGAGGTTCTCATTAGATACATGATGTTTACCTGCAGTTTATTTATATTATTATTGTTATTTAACAAAAATAGGATTTTGTATAATTAGCCATATTCCATTTGCTTAATAAATTGCATCAGTTATGTGGTATTTGGCATATTATAAGAAATGTGTAAATTTTGGATAATTCAGTTATGAATATTTCATCCCCTGAATTTGAACTAACAAGGATTTCCTGTATATAGCAACATGTTGCAGTAGTCAATGTAAATAATTGGTTTGTAAATAGAAGAATCATATCAAAATAAAAAGAAAAAATTCATTAAAAGTTCATCTTAATAATTAACTTTTATGTTGTACCATAATAGTTAATTTTGTCATATATGAATGTTTGGCATGCTAACTTTTTTAAAAAGATAAAATGTTGGCTCACTGGCTATTGCCAAAAATAATAAATATTTCTACAAGATCCCAAAGTAATATATAATATATATATATATATATATTTATTTGTAAACATAAATTTGTTGTGCATTTTCTCAGATTGGATTCTGTTCTACTTTGCAGAAGCTTTTATTTGATATAGGTCAAATTTGGTTTGATGTCCTTTGTATCTCTTCTATTCATTACTGTTCATATATTTGGGACAATTTTTTGTCACAAATATATGAGCAGTAATGCCTTCTAATATATGAGTAAATGCCTTCTATGAAACAGATACTTATTAATTCTGAGAAGTTAGTTCATATTTACAGGAAAAGTCAGGCTTTTTATAACTATCAAAGTTTACGATCTGTACCTAATCATGATAGAAAAAATACATTCTGCTGATTTTGCATTATCTTATATTGAAATTATGTTTTAATAATCTTTGCCTAGTTTCTTTAGTCTCGTTCATTTCACTTTTAGCATGGAAAAAATCTCTTGCATCTTTTATAGTCAAATTGCTCTTACACCTAATATAAAATACAAAGATAATTCTTTCATGTTTATTTTCCTCCAAAAACTATCACATGCAGAAAAATTTCTTATGATATTATTGCAGTTTACAGCTGATGTATTAAGTGCAAAATATGTCTTTTTGTTTTAATTTAATGCAAATTGAAATCTTTGTTTTATGCTTTTTTATTAAGAGAAGGTGTTTTTTTTGCTTTATTATCTTTTGACATATTTTTCTATTTGTTTATTCATATAATTTGTCCTTTATAATTATTTATTTAGCGATCCTAGAATGATATCATTTATTTTATAAAATTATTTTTGAAACTAAAATTTTTGTAAACATATATAGTATATTTAACCTTAACTCATATTCAGTGAACAGTTACAATCTGGTAGCCCAAGTGTTCAGACTGATGTATGACTACGATAATTTAGCAATATGTTGGAGCCAAAAAAGAAGAAAAAGCAATTTTGTGTGCTCATGATTGCTTTATTTTCATAAGTTATTTATTAGTATATCACAAATTGAAGGACCTCAATTTTTTTATATTTGTGGTTCACTGTTCATTTTAACTATTTCAATTATTATGCAATAAGTTTATAGATTTTTTTTTAAATTAATTTATATATAAACTTGAAATTTTGTATTATATTTAGAAAATTAGTGAAACTAACAGCTAGTCATTATTAGTTTTGTACAAAATAGCAGTTAATGTTTGCTATTTTATAAAACTTTAGTTATATGCTTTTTTTCTATAATCTGCACAAGTAGCAAGAAAATTTCTTGCTTGAATTTTTAAAAATATTTGCAATGCACTGGGTATATGGAAGTATTATATAATTTTTTAATATGAGTTAATAATCTCTTAAATTTATCTATAATTTTATAAAAGTCTGTTTCGTACAAGTATAAAATTTAACTTTTATGCTTAAGATGTTTTCACAATAATAATGAACTATTTTTCAAGAAAACTTATGCCTTTTATAGATATTAATATACTTTAATAGTATGCTCGTACTTAAAATTGTGATAATTACTGAAATTTGACTCGCATATTTAAAATATGAATATAATGTGTAAGTATTATATTTTAAATTAGATTAGGCATGAAAAATTTGTTAAAATAATTTTGAGATTTATATGATGAAAAGAGTGAGATAGTTTTTAAACAAGCGAGATATTTTTACTCATGTTATCTGATTGATCAAATTTACATTGATCTAATTAGGAATTGCGACAGATTTTGCAGTCTTGTTTTATGTAATGTTCTTTGTATCATAGATGAAATTGGTAATTTGCTCAATATGCAGCAAGAAGATATTGTACTGTTGATGATAATTTAATAGGAAATATGATATCTCAGTTTAACATACTTTCAAGAACGTTTTCTTTACTTGAATATTTTTGCAATCAAATATTTCTCTCTAGTATAGTATTAAATTTGATTCTATCTGCTATAACTGTTAAAACTTAGGGACCATCTCTTGTGATATTGAAACTTTAATCATTTAGCTCTTAATATTTTCACAAATAAATTTGATAAACTGTTTCTGACATGAAACTAAACTTAATCTATAACATTTAATGTTTTTCTGTTTAAATAATTAAGAGTATTATCATCACACTTATAAAAACAAAGTTGATTGACTGTGAACGATATCTCACACTAATTGAATCTTTCAAGTCTCAAGGAAACTTTATATATTTCTAAAACAGTTTTTAAGTTTCTAAGATTTGGAACATCAGAAATATTTTATAATATATTATATAACTCATCACATCAAAAAAAAAAAAAACAAAAATAAGAGTTTATTTTTTTGGGTTTATTAAAATGCAGTCTGATTAATCTTAAGAAAAATTAGATTGCATTTTATTTGTGAAACCTTGTTTTCATTGATTTTTTACTCTTTAAAAAGTTAAATAGTTGAGCATTTAGAAAATTTTGAAATGAATTTGAAAGTATTTTGGATATTATTTAGAAGAAAGTTATCAAGAGTTATCTTAAAGAAATGTTTGGTTAATATTAAGCAAATGAGAATTTAAAAAATTAATTTAATTTGGTATATTTTAAAATGAAACAAAATTAATTAACTGCGAAAAAATCTGCATGGTAAGATCTTTGTATAAAAACAATAGTAAATTGCTTGAATAATATTTACTTTATGGTTAAAATTTGATAAAGTACAAAATTAAAAAGTAGAAAGTTGATTCTTGAACTTAGAAAGAAATATTGTTTCAAAGTACACATCATGTATTGAAAATACTATTGGCATATGTTAATTACTTCATATAATTAATATATTGCATATATGTATGCATATAAATATTATATAAATGATTATCAATTATATCTAATAATTTAGTACAAATTGAAAGTATATTCTAAAAATTTTTAGCTGTAAACAATACTTGAACAATTTGGATGCATTTTGATTTAAGAATATTATTTTTAACATATATTGCATATACTGTATATTATTTAATAAAGTCGTTCTTTTAGCATCTTTCATGTATTTATTTTCATTCACAGTGATATGAATTCTTAATAAGATAGTTTGGTGCTATTTCATTCTTTATTCATTGACTTAGTGCAGTGTTATTGTGAAAATATTTTTAACTCTGTTGTTAAGTGTAATCTACTTTTATCTTTCTACTACTATTATTTATCTTGTGTAAGTTAACAAATGAATATAGTTTTGTGTGAGTATTTGAATATCAACATATGAAAATTTATAGGATTAAATTTAGTTTCTTTCAAGAAACAGTTTCTCTTAAATAAATGCTTATTGAACACCTTAATATAAATACGTAAAAATAAGAAGCATTTTGAATTTGATATCTCTATGCTGCAATTATCATACTTTGGATAACTGTTTTCATTTCATTAGGCAGTTTATATTTTGTTCATTTTATTTTATATTCATCAGTTTAAAACTATAAATGAATTTACTTTACGTCTGATGTAATTACTAAGCATAATTTGAATACAAATTATTTTATTGACATTAAATTATATAAAATAAGATTAAAGACAATCTAATGTTAGTATTTCTATATTAATTATTGTCTATATCTTACCTCATATTACATTTATTATATTTTCAGTATTTAAAAGAAAAAGATTCAAAACATTATCCAAAACTCTTATTTTCACAGCACAATATACATTGTTAAACACAATTATTTTTCTGATAGATATAAAACACGTCACTGTTAACTATCAAATATTCAAATGCATCTGTCAAAATTTAGCATTTGATTATTTATAAATTGTAAATACATTAACACAAAAATTGTAAATATATAAATATATTCAAGATGCACAAATGTTAAACTGGGATTTTTCTCCAAAACTAATTTTTTTTAATTCTTTTTTTGACAGTTTTCATCTGTTAGATTATGTAAGAAAGACACATTCACAATTGTTAAATTAAGCACATTAAACTGAGTTACAATTTAAGCAATATTATCAAATGCTACGATCAAAATGCACTCAGTTGCAAAATTATTAACTTAAGAAGTAAAATATCTTCTTTTTATACATATATACTTATATCTGATAATGTATGTGCCTTTCTGAAATTAATAATAATTGTTTACCATGATAATTGTTGAATATTTATAGGTTTAACTTTTTTGTGTGTGTAGTAATTTCAGTTATGGCAGCAGTTCTTTATTATTTTTTTCTGATAGTTTATAGTTTCAATTAAATGATGATAATTTATGCTCAAACATATGATTATTATATATACTATATTCTAGAAAATAGTTTTGATAAAGGATAAATTATGTGTATTGTTATCATTGTTTTTGAAAAATTACAAAATACATAATTTGTATTGTCTTCCCTGTACAGTTCATATTGTATGAATAATGTATATTATAGATTCTCTTAATAAATATAAATATATATTTACTCTGATCAGTTTTTTGGTATTTATAATTATTGCAATGTAAAGTTATTGCTGTTACAGAATTACAGACAATAATATAAAAAATAATCTTTATATACTCATAAAAACTTTAACAGAAATATTGAAAATATTCTTGAATAATACAAATAACACTTTTATATATATAGAAAAAATTATGCTTTACATATAATATTTTAAATTTAAAAGATTTTTTTGTTTTTTACACATTAATATTAATTATCAATAATCCTCATGATGGGCTTATGATAATTTAATAACTCTGGTTGATTTAACATGTCTGGTTTAAATTGAGTGATGATCCGTGTCTGCTGGATCACGTGCTGTACTCTGTTGGATTTGGGACGCAACAAGTCAAGCAGAGATTTTGGCCTGGGTGGTATTGGTTTCAATGCTTCAGGTTGATTTGGATATAAAAAGAGATATTCTGGCTCTTCTGATTTTGAAGTTTGTGGCATTCCAGTTTCAGATGGGACAAAAACAAATTCATCATCTGATGGTTTTTGCATTGGATGTATTTCCTGGGGATGATCAGGTGTTACAGTTGCAGGTTCAGTTAATGGATGTGGTAAAGGAAATGGTGGTGGTGAATTATACATGAATGGAGGGGGTGGAAGATGATAGTATGGGGCTGGATTAAACATTGGTGATGGTGGCAGAGAATGAAGTGGATGATAAGGTGGTAATGGCACAAATGGTGTTGGAGGAATGAAAAATGGATGGGTAAATGGTGGGGGCATGAAGAAAGGTGAATGGAATGGCATAGATGGAGGTGGTGGTGGTGGTGGTGGTGGTAAAAGTGAACTCAAAAGAAGTGGATGTGTAAGAGGTCCGGAGAATGGAAGTGAAAGAGGACCAGAGAGTGGAAGTGAAAGAGGACCAGAAAATGCCTGTGAAAGAGGACCAGAGAATGCTCGTGAAAGAGGACCAGGGAATGCATGTGAAAGAGGACCAGGGAATGAAGGTTCTGGGAAAGGAAGGAATATAGATGGAGGAGTAATACTTTCTTTCAAAAAGAGAAGAGGAGAAGCCATAGATGCTATCTTCTCTTCTATATTTGGTTGGTATTTATCAGTGAGTATTCTGAGCTTGGTGCTCAGGATTTTTTTCAGGAAAGAAGCAGCACCAAATATATCCATAGGATTTAATTTGAAAGGACTTTCTTCACGTCTGAATGATTGTAGCAGATTTCTTACTGGAGGAAGAAATTTTGGGCGAAATCTTCCAAAAGGTGGAAACCCTAGCTTTCTTTCTGGTTTTGTCTTGAAAGGAAATGGAAAAAGTGGAAATGGCGGAGGTGGAGGTGGAGGTGGAGGAGAGAAGAATTTCACTTCTTGTTTTGGTTGAAGATTTTGAATAGGAATTACATCATTTTTTGAAACTTTATCTTTGCCAGCATCCAACACAATTGTCATTATTTCATCCTTGTTATCCTCATTGTCAGCAAGAGGAGGAGACTTAGTTGATTCAGTTCCTGCTGCTTGAACAATTTCTTGTTGGTCATTGTTAGTATTCACTTCATCTACAGGAAATGCTAAGAAGTAGGTAGAATCCTGAGAATCTGGTAAAAGTGAGGAAAGGACTTCAGATTCTCCTCCATTTCCTACCTGAATAAAAAAAGAAGAAAAAAATTGAATTAGAATTTCTTAAAATAAGAATAAATGATTTCTATTTTCAATATTAAATTTTTAATAAAAACTTACAGAAGTAACTTCATCCTTTTGTTCAGTTCCAGAAGTTAAACAGAGAGAAGCTGAAATGTAAAAAATTTAGTAAACTTTAAATATATCTTGCTTCTTATTTATGAAGAATTTTCACCAGAATAGCATTTTGACCTACATTACGATGCTTCAGGTAATGGAGGGAGGAAGAAAGACAGGATGCTTTATCACCGAAGAGGAAAAGGTGATGTTATCCGATAGAAGGTCAGTTATAACTGAATGATAAGCATTTTACTAACCAACTGATATGCATGCAACCCCTTATTTATAGAAAAAATATTTACCTATAGAACAAAGAACATATAAGGTCAAAATCCACCTCATAACTGGGTCTTGGGGTCAAATAGCTCGCCTGTAACAATCACAATAGTTATTTTTATTTATTGTTATGATAGAATTATTATTAAATTTATGATATCCATAAACAATATTTCCTGATAGGAAATATTGCTTATGAATATTAAAAGAATTCTACAGTAATAATAAATATGATAAAACTTCGTACAATACAAAATATCAGCTAAATATTTAAACGAAGTGTTGCAGTAAATCAGTATGACAAGATATAAATTATCATCTAGATTTCTAAGTTACGTGTTTATCTGTAGGATCCTTATTACTTATTAATATGATGTAAAATTACAGTTAACCTGCATTATCACCATCATCATCATTTTTTTTTCTTTTTTTTTAACTACAATCGCCAGTTTGGATCCGGGTGTCAGGTTAGAGAGAGACCTCAGATGACCTAGAGTTACAGGATCTTATGCAACAGGTATGTTAGATACTTTGTTATTTATTAGTGAATTATTGTCAAGTGTGTGATTTTTTTTAACAGTAATATAATTTATAATCCAAACAAAAACATAAGTAATATCTGACTCACTAAAAAAAATTAAAATTACTGTACTGTATTAATAATTCAATACACGAATAATTTAGTTATATCGGAACGAAAATCTCAAAAATCTGAAGCTGTAAACTATTTGAGTGTTTTAGAATTAAATTAGACTCTCAGAAAATTAAAAATTTAGAAATATTTCGCTTTTTCTGAAAAGCGAAAATGACTTAAAATTTGCCAAAATAGTCCGAAAAATTCTGTTCAATAATAACAGCGAAATAGTAAAATATTTCAAGTGAAAACTAATGTAAAACTTACGAAACGCATAAATTAAAACTGTTAAAACTATAAGCAAAAACGGAATGGATAGTTCCACAAGAAAGACTAAAAAAAATAAATAAATAGTACAAAGCGCGAACAATATTAGAAATAGCAAATGCAGAATGCGTATATATAAAAAAATACTCACCTTGAGTAACTGTCAGGCGGCTATTGAAAAGAAGGAACGAGTCTCATCTGCAACGTCATGCCGTCTTTATAACTAGGGACAGGATGGGTAAGCGGACAATTGCGCCTTACGAGATGCGCAATAGAAGGTCATTTACACGCAGACCGGTCTGCAGCGAGAACGGAGATGCTTCCGTCTTTCAGACCTCATCCGAGACCTAATTCGATATTTTCCTGTCTTCCCCGCTTGCTAAAAATATGTTGTTTGTTAGCAATGGGGTCATCTTGCGGTGGACTGGGGGGGACCGGTTGACCCCGTTCCACCACCACGCTGCGAGGAAAACGAACGTAACTTACGAGTTACTCCGGCTTTTTTTTTTTTTTCCAGTGCGTTCTTGCGAATAAGCTGTGGTCGTTCCATCTCTTACATTTTTTATCGCAGGTTTTTTTTTTGGTAGGAATTTTTGTATTGCTGTTGATTTTTTCAAGTTTGATTTAGAAATGCTTGATTGTTCGACTTTTTTTTCAAAGATTATTATTATTATTATTATTTTGTTTTTAATAAGTGGAATGTGGAACGAATATATAGAATATATCTTTAATCCAAAATATTAAGATTACATGATTTCTGTTTCATCAACTTCAAAATAGTAGTTAGACCTATAAAACAGTTGGCATTGAGACTTTTCTATGGATGAAGCTTTAGTTTTAAAAGTTTTGCATGAATTGAAATAGCTATCTGTAAATATATAGAAAATATTTAATGAAATATTTCGAATTCTAGTAATAGAAATTATAAATGCAGGTTGAAATGATGATTTGCATAAGATAATTCTACTGTATCTAATGTGTCACGAAAGAGTCGTTCAGACTTTTGGGTTAACTCTTGTAATTTGATAAAATTGATAATTAATTTAAGATTGTTTTTACAATAAATTTTATTTTTATGAAAGTTAATAATGTATAAATTATCAAATAGTTTCATCAAAAATGTTCTTTCCTGCCATACTAGATATAGCGCATCTCATATAGAATGTTATACAAATTAGTAAGTTATCATTGCATATGTATGTACAGTGTATACAATATTTATTTTTTCATTAATAAAAAGAATAAACATCCGATCTATTGTGTAGAAAGTAACGGCTTAATTGAATGAAGTTACCGTCATTTTCTAAGGTAATTCGATAGATTCATTCAGAGTATTTACAGTAATTTGGTTAGTTTTAATTCAATAAATTACTACAAGAAGTAGCTTTTTTTCTACGTTCAGGAACAATAAAATATTAATAAATTGAAGAGTAGAATGAAAGTAGTCTGCTTGTTTATTTTTCGAAATTTGATTTTAATTATTTTTATATTTGGTTTGTATCATTAGCCTATGAGAAGTGTTTAATTAAATTAAATAAATTATTGTTAATATTATAACGTAAAGAAAACGTAGGAGATATTAATAATTATTTAAAAAACTTTTTAAGGGGAAAACTTGCATAAGAAAAGGGAAACATCAAAGCAGTTTTTCTTTATTTTTTTTTAATTTTCTTCAAAAAAAAAAGGTTTTTACTTTCTAAGAAATATGCNATCCAAAACTCTTATTTTCACAGCACAATATACAATATGGAAGTATTATATAATTTTTTAATATGAGTTAATAATCTCTTAAATTTATCTATAATTTTATAAAAGTCTGTTTCGTACAAGTATAAAATTTAACTTTTATGCTTAAGATGTTTTCACAATAATAATGAACTATTTTTCAAGAAAACTTATGCCTTTTATAGATATTAATATACTTTAATAGTATGCTCGTACTTAAAATTGTGATAATTACTGAAATTTGACTCGCATATTTAAAATATGAATATAATGTGTAAGTATTATATTTTAAATTAGATTAGGCATGAAAAATTTGTTAAAATAATTTTGAGATTTATATGATGAAAAGAGTGAGATAGTTTTTAAACAAGCGAGATATTTTTACTCATGTTATCTGATTGATCAAATTTACATTGATCTAATTAGGAATTGCGACAGATTTTGCAGTCTTGTTTTATGTAATGTTCTTTGTATCATAGATGAAATTGGTAATTTGCTCAATATGCAGCAAGAAGATATTGTACTGTTGATGATAATTTAATAGGAAATATGATATCTCAGTTTAACATACTTTCAAGAACGTTTTCTTTACTTGAATATTTTTGCAATCAAATATTTCTCTCTAGTATAGTATTAAATTTGATTCTATCTGCTATAACTGTTAAAACTTAGGGACCATCTCTTGTGATATTGAAACTTTAATCATTTAGCTCTTAATATTTTCACAAATAAATTTGATAAACTGTTTCTGACATGAAACTAAACTTAATCTATAACATTTAATGTTTTTCTGTTTAAATAATTAAGAGTATTATCATCACACTTATAAAAACAAAGTTGATTGACTGTGAACGATATCTCACACTAATTGAATCTTTCAAGTCTCAAGGAAACTTTATATATTTCTAAAACAGTTTTTTAAGTTTCTAAGATTTGGAACATCAGAAATATTTTATAATATATTATATAACTCATCACATCAAAAAAAAAAAAAACAAAAATAAGAGTTTATTTTTTTGGGTTTATTAAAATGCAGTCTGATTAATCTTAAGAAAAATTAGATTGCATTTTATTTGTGAAACCTTGTTTTCATTGATTTTTTACTCTTTAAAAAGTTAAATAGTTGAGCATTTAGAAAATTTTGAAATGAATTTGAAAGTATTTTGGATATTATTTAGAAGAAAGTTATCAAGAGTTATCTTAAAGAAATGTTTGGTTAATATTAAGCAAATGAGAATTTAAAAAATTAATTTAATTTGGTATATTTTAAAATGAAACAAAATTAATTAACTGCGAAAAAATCTGCATGGTAAGATCTTTGTATAAAAACAATAGTAAATTGCTTGAATAATATTTACTTTATGGTTAAAATTTGATAAAGTACAAAATTAAAAAGTAGAAAGTTGATTCTTGAACTTAGAAAGAAATATTGTTTCAAAGTACACATCATGTATTGAAAATACTATTGGCATATGTTAATTACTTCATATAATTAATATATTGCATATATGTATGCATATAAATATTATATAAATGATTATCAATTATATCTAATAATTTAGTACAAATTGAAAGTATATTCTAAAAATTTTTAGCTGTAAACAATACTTGAACAATTTGGATGCATTTTGATTTAAGAATATTATTTTTAACATATATTGCATATACTGTATATTATTTAATAAAGTCGTTCTTTTAGCATCTTTCATGTATTTATTTTCATTCACAGTGATATGAATTCTTAATAAGATAGTTTGGTGCTATTTCATTCTTTATTCATTGACTTAGTGCAGTGTTATTGTGAAAATATTTTTAACTCTGTTGTTAAGTGTAATCTACTTTTATCTTTCTACTACTATTATTTATCTTGTGTAAGTTAACAAATGAATATAGTTTTGTGTGAGTATTTGAATATCAACATATGAAAATTTATAGGATTAAATTTAGTTTCTTTCAAGAAACAGTTTCTCTTAAATAAATGCTTATTGAACACCTTAATATAAATACGTAAAAATAAGAAGCATTTTGAATTTGATATCTCTATGCTGCAATTATCATACTTTGGATAACTGTTTTCATTTCATTAGGCAGTTTATATTTTGTTCATTTTATTTTATATTCATCAGTTTAAAACTATAAATGAATTTACTTTACGTCTGATGTAATTACTAAGCATAATTTGAATACAAATTATTTTATTGACATTAAATTATATAAAATAAGATTAAAGACAATCTAATGTTAGTATTTCTATATTAATTATTGTCTATATCTTACCTCATATTACATTTATTATATTTTCAGTATTTAAAAGAAAAAGATTCAAAACATTATCCAAAACTCTTATTTTCACAGCACAATATACATTGTTAAACACAATTATTTTTCTGATAGATATAAAACACATGTCACTGTTAACTATCAAATATTCAAATGCATCTGTCAAAATTTAGCATTTGATTATTTATAAATTGTAAATACATTAACACAAAAATTGTAAATATATAAATATATTCAAGATGCACAAATGTTAAACTGGGATTTTTCTCCAAAACTAATTTTTTTTAATTCTTTTTTTGACAGTTTTCATCTGTTAGATTATGTAAGAAAGACACATTCACAATTGTTAAATTAAGCACATTAAACTGAGTTACAATTTAAGCAATATTATCAAATGCTACGATCAAAATGCACTCAGTTGCAAAATTATTAACTTAAGAAGTAAAATATCTTCTTTTTATACATATATACTTATATCTGATAATGTATGTGCCTTTCTGAAATTAATAATAATTGTTTACCATGATAATTGTTGAATATTTATAGGTTTAACTTTTTTGTGTGTGTAGTAATTTTATAGATATTAATATACTTTAATAGTATGCTCGTACTTAAAATTGTGATAATTACTGAAATTTGACTCGCATATTTAAAATATGAATATAATGTGTAAGTATTATATTTTAAATTAGATTAGGCATGAAAAATTTGTTAAAATAATTTTGAGATTTATATGATGAAAAGAGTGAGATAGTTTTTAAACAAGCGAGATATTTTTACTCATGTTATCTGATTGATCAAATTTACATTGATCTAATTAGGAATTGCGACAGATTTTGCAGTCTTGTTTTATGTAATGTTCTTTGTATCATAGATGAAATTGGTAATTTGCTCAATATGCAGCAAGAAGATATTGTACTGTTGATGATAATTTAATAGGAAATATGATATCTCAGTTTAACATACTTTCAAGAACGTTTTCTTTACTTGAATATTTTTGCAATCAAATATTTCTCTCTAGTATAGTATTAAATTTGATTCTATCTGCTATAACTGTTAAAACTTAGGGACCATCTCTTGTGATATTGAAACTTTAATCATTTAGCTCTTAATATTTTCACAAATAAATTTGATAAACTGTTTCTGACATGAAACTAAACTTAATCTATAACATTTAATGTTTTTCTGTTTAAATAATTAAGAGTATTATCATCACACTTATAAAAACAAAGTTGATTGACT